TCAAGTCCAGGTCTTAAGATTCATGATCTGAACAACAACAATATTCTATTTACTCTACACCACACAAAGGTGCAGAAGTCAAAGACTAATAGAGTTTTGCAAAAAGAATGCACTGGGCATAGCAAACATCCTCTTCCAACAACACAAGAGAAGGTTATACACATGGACATCACCAGATGGCCAACACTGAAATCAGATTGATTATATTCTTTGCCGCCAAAGATGGAGAAGCTCTATACAGTCAGCAAAAACAAGACCGGGAGCTGACTATGGCTCAGATCATGAACTCCTTATTGCCAAATTCAGACTTAAATTGAAGAAAGTAGGGAAAACCACTTTACCATTCAGGTATGACCTAAGTCAAATCCCTTACAATTATACAGTGGAAGTGACAAATAGATTCAAGGGATTAGATCTGATAGACAAGAGTGCCTGAAGAACTATGGATGAAGGTTCGTGACATTGTACAAGAGGGAGTGATCAAGACCATCCCCAAGAAAAAGAAAGGCAAAATGGTTGTCTGAGGAGGCCTTACAAATAGCTGAGAAAAGAAGAGAAGATAAAGGCAAAGGAGAAAAGGAAAGATATACCCGTTTGAATGCAGAGTTTCAAAGAATGGCAAGGAGAGATAAGAAAGACTTCCTCAGTGATCAATGCAAAGAAATAGAGGAAAATAATAGAATGGGAAAGACTAGCGATCTCTTCAAGAAAATTAGAGATACCAAGGGAACATTTCATGCAAAGATGGGCACAATAAAGGACAGAAATGGTATGGACCTAACAGAAGCAGAAGATATTAAGAAGAGGTGGCAAGAATACACAGAAGAACTATACAAAGATCTTCATGACCCTGATAATCACGATGGTGTGATCACTCACCTAGAGCCAGACATCCTGGAATGTGAGGTCAAGTGAGCCTTAGGAAGCATCACTATGAACAAAGCTAGTGGAGGTAATGGAATTCCACTTGAGCTATTTCAAATCCTGAAAGATGATGCTGTGAAAGTGCTGCAATCAATATGCCAGCATATTTGGAAAACTCAGCAGTGGCCACAGGACTGGAAAAGGTCAGTTTTCATTGCAGTCCCAAGAAAGGCAATGCCAAAGAATGTTCAAACTACCGCACAGTTGTACTCATCTCACATGCTAGTAAAGTAGTGCTCAAAATTCTCCAAGCCAGGCTTCAACAGTATCTGAACCATGAACTTCCAGATGTTCAAGCTGGCTTTAGAAAAGGGAGAGGAACCAGAGATCAAATTGCCAGTATCTGTTGGATCATCGAAAAACCAAGAGAGTTCCAGGAAAAACATCTATTTCTGCTTTATTGACTATGCCAAAGCCTTTGACTGTGTGGATCACAATAAACTGTGGAAAATTCTTAAAGAGATGGGAGTACCAGACCACCTGACCTGCCTCCTGAGAAATCTGTATGGAGGTCAAGAAGCAACAGTTAGAACTGAACATGGAACAACAGACTGGTTCCAAATCGGGAAAGGAGTACGTCAAGGCTGTATATTGTCACCCAGCTTATTTAACTTCTATGCAGAGTACATGATGTGAAATGCCAGGCTGGAGGAAGTACAAGCTGGAATCAAGATTTCTGGGAGAAATACCAGTAACCTCATATATGCAGATGACATCACTCTAATGGCAGAAAGCGAAGAGGAATTAAAGAGCCTCTTGATGAAGGTGAAAGAAGAGGGTGAAAAAGCTGGCTTAAAACTCAACATTCAAAAAACGAAGATCATGGCATCCTGTTCCATCACTTCACAGCAAATAGATGGGGAAACAATGGAAACAGTGACAGACTTTATTTTCTTGGGCTGGCTCCAAAATCACTGAAGATGGTGACTGCAGCCATGAAATTAAAACATGCTTGCTCCTTTGAAGAAGAGGTATGACCAACCTAAACAGCATATTAAAAAACAGAGACATTATTTTGCCAACAAAGGTCCATCTAGTCAAAACTATGGTTTTTCCAGTAGTCATGTATGGATGTGAGAGTTGGACTATAAAGAAAGCTGAGCACCCAAGAATTGATGCTTTTGAACTGTGGTGTTGGAGAAGACTCTTGAGAGTCCCTTGGACTGCAAGGAGATCAAACCAGTCCATCCTAAAGGAGATCAGTCTTGAACATTCATTGGAAGGACTGATGTTGAAGCTTAAACTCCAATCCTTTGGCCACCTGATGCTAAGAACTGACTCATTTGAAAAGACCCTGATGCTTGGAAAGATTGAAGGCAGGAGGAGAAAGGGACAACGGAGGGTGAGATGGTTGGATGGCATCACCGACTTGATGGACGTGAGTTTGAGTAGGCTCGGGGAGTTGGTGATGGACAGGGAAGCCTGGCGGGCTGCAGTCCATGGGGTAGCAAAGAGTCAGACACGACTGAGTGACAACTGAACTGAACGCCATGCAACGTACTCCCCTCTCTGGATTTAGAATTAAGCTCCAGGGGTTATGTTGGACTATTCTGAACTCATCTATCAGCCTTCCTGTGTCTTAGGTTAGGTGTGGGACTCTGCTACCCGGGAATAACCCACAGATGCCAAGACTGGGAACCTCAGTCCTCCCCAACTCTCTGGACCCTTGAGAGCCACAAGCTTTTTAAACCTGATAGTGGGGCTCAGTGTCCTGTCTCCTGAGTCAATCCTCTTGGAATTCTTATATATGGAAAGGAACCTCTTCAGAGACCTTTTTTTTTTTTTATCCTATCCTCATCCAAACTGGAACACAAGGAAAAACCAGTTGGATGGCTTAGGACATCTGGCTCCACCATCTGGGTCTCAGTTTATATCTCCCCTTCCTTACTTGAGTAAGAGGGGCCTCACTATTCCCTGGTCCCAGACCCCCTCCAACACCTCCCGCAGGCATCCGGGGTAACCGCCAGGCTCTGCAGCCTAGGATAACGCCCAGCCCTCCCTTGCACCCTGTGGCTGCCTTCCCTTTCCGTCTGTTGAGAGAGGAAGCCAGGGGGTGGCGGGTGCAATCCTGCAGGGCACTGATAAAAGGGCCAGCCCTGCCCCCGCCCCCTGGGGCCACTGCGGTCAGCCCAGCAGGCAAGCAGGCCAGGCAGCTAGCTCCCTCTGGGACCTGTGGCCCTCCCCGGGCTTCACCTCTACCCACCCCGCCCTACTCGGGAAGCTGGTTGCATAATTCGGTAGGGTGTTTGGCAACATGGCTGTGGCTTGCCCTGATGCTGATGGTAGTGTGCACACGCACTGGGGTGAGGGTGGGGTAAGTTGACCAGAGGTGACAACAAGACAGCCTTTTGGGGGTGCATGAGCAGCATGGATGAAGAACGGTATAACAGTAAAGATATGTGGCCATGTTTTTCTCCACACTCTGTCTCTGCCACTTTGGCTGAAGCAGGAGGATCTTGGGGCTAGGAAAATCTTAGGTATTCTGCCTTGCCTAGCTGCAGGCACTGTCCAACCCATTCAGGCACCTAATACCCTGTTAATCTTACATCAAGCAAAGGAGATTTAAGATAGAAGGAGGTTGACTCTAGACAGCAGGAATCTGAAAGGAGGGGACTAAAGGAAATATCCCCACCCCTGGGGGGCTGTAAAGAGTGTTCTGGGACTGCCCTTGAGGTACAGTGGATAGGAATCTGCCTGCCAATACAGGGGACATGGGTTTGATCCCCGCTCTGGGAAGATCCCACATGCTGCGAAGCAACCAAGCCCATGTATCACTACTACTGAGGATGCATTCAGAGCCCAAGAGCCACAACTACTGAAGCCCATGTGCGCCTAGAACTTGTGCTCTGCAACAAGAGAAGCCACTGTAGTGAGAAGCCCACACTGCAAGAAAGAGTAGCCCCCACTCTCTGCAACTAGAGGAAGTCTGTGTGCAGCAACAAAGACCCAGTGCAACCAAAAATAATAAATAAATACATTTAAAAAAAAAAAGAATGTTCTAGAGGCAGAACACAGCCTGCTAACCACAGTAACAGCCTCTTCCTACAGGAGGGGAATAGGGTGAGGTGGGAGAGATATCCTGGCCAGCCACCTAAATGAAGGCTGTCTGTTGACTTAGCTCAGCCTGTACGACCATGTCTGTCCCCGAAAGCAAGTAAACTGCTTCAAACATGTCTTTGACTTGCACATGGGATGAAACACAACTGCCCTAGTCTGGCTTTCAAGACTTTTACAGTCTAGCCCCAGTCAATCTCCCCAAACATTTTTCACTACTTCCTACCCCACACTCCACCCTAGGAAACCCTGAGAACTCTTCTCAGTCTGATGCCTCCGGGTTTTCACACCTCAGCTTGGAATACCCTTCTCCCCTCTTTTCCTGGTGAACCCTGAGTCATTCTCCACAGCCCAGCTCAATTGTCACCTCCTCTGTGAAGCCCGCTCTGAATTTCCCCAACAGCAGTTCAGCTCCATAGTGTCTTTTTTTTTTTTTTTTTTTGATGTGGATCATTTTTGAAGTCTTTATTGAATTTGTTACAAGCAATATGCTTCTGTTGCTTATGTTCTGGTTTTCTGGCCACAAGGCATGTGGGATCTTCCCTCTCCAGCCAGGGATCAAACCGGTATCCCTGAGTTGGAAGGAGAAGTCTTAACCACTGGCCCTCCAGGGAAGTCCCTCCATAGCACTTTATATAGACCTTTATTACTGTATCCGACTCTTTGTGGCCCAATGAACTGTATTTCACCAGGCTCCTCTGTCCATGGGATTTTCCAGGCAAAAATACAAGAGTGGGCTGCCATTTCTTTCTCCAGAGGATCTTCCCAACTCAAAGATTGAACCCGCATCTCCTGAGTCTTCTGCATTGGCAGGCAGATTCTTTACTACTAGTGCCACCTGGAAAACCCCGAATTCCCTGCGTAGGCTGTTAATAAGGACACAGACTATTCTTATGTATCTTTGTATAGTTCTGGAGTGGGAAATATTATAGACACACAACAAATATTTGTTGAATGAATGAATGATAAGTAGACACTCCATAAATATCCATTCATTCATTGGAAAACTTATGTTTAATTGTATGTGTGATGCCACAAATAGTGTCCTGAACTGGTAGCTTTCACTCAGCAAATGTTTGTTGACTATCTGTAACCTGATACCATTACTGAATCAGCCACAAGTATGACTATCACCACCCCTCATCCCCTCCAATGGGCCCAAATAAATACATAAGCTACCTGAGTACTCATATTTGTGACCTAGATTCATACCCAGGTCATCAAGAGATTCTGAACCTGCATGTAACATGCAATGAAGCCATGGGTCACCTCCTGCCCCACACAGATCATGCATGTAGAATTATAATGTCCTGGGGCAGGGATGGAATTCAAATCACTGAACTATGGGTTTGGCACGGGTGTTGATCAAACCCACACACACAGGCTGCAGGTATCACATTGCCTCTTGAATTGCTCGGTTGTCTTATTGGGTTGGGGGCATCCTGAGAGAGAACTGGGGTGGCTGACATAGTACTGTAATGATGGGGAACACTTGGAAGACTCCCAGAAGCTATTCTTTACCAAGTGGGACAGAATGTTTTCATTATTTTAATAGTGAACACAAGCCTATCATAGAATGCTGCCTGAACACCAGTCCTGTCTTAGGGTGGCACCTGCCTACCTCCTTAGTCAATAACTGTTTCCAATTTAACTTGAATATCATAAGAAGAAAAAAAAATAGAAAAAGTGTAAGCTGCAGCTGTTAGGAGTGAAGCTAGACATAGGAAAGACTTTCCTTAGAGCTAAAAGCTATTAAAAGCTAGGAGGAAGCCAGACTTTTCTCCTAGTCTCTGGAGAAAGATCTGTTTGGCCTGGAACCTGGGTTGTGGCTTGGAGGCAAATGGATGAATGAGTGATTTCCAGGGGTACTTACTGGCCTGCCCCAGAGCTGCTGTGAATACTGGGGGTGGACCTGACACCCTACACACATGTCCTGTTCTGTCGAGTATGTGGCTGCCCTGTGACTGGGGTGACTGCCTGGAAGCAAGGACAGAGGGCATCTAGGGTCCCCTTAAAGGCAGCTGAATAATGTCCCTGCCAGCCGGCTCCCCTCCACCCCAACTCCCCTCACACACGGACAACAAACCTGGCCAAGAAAGAGGCCTTTGTCCTAGGACATCTGAGGCTGCAGGGGGAGGGGAGAAGGCTACAGGTGAAAGGACGCATCAAAGCGGCTGGGCCCTCCTCCCCTAGAAGCTCCCCTACCCCTTTCCCAGAGCCCAGGCTTTCCTGAAATAAAAGCAGTGTCCCGAAGGCCTACCTGCCTAACAACTGGGATGTTAGACATCTGGTCCTTTTCTCCAGCTGTTCTCCACCTTGCCAGGACTCAGTTTCCCTGTCCTGAAAAGAGTCAAAGGGGCAAAGGGCAAGGGGTTACAACTTGTACGAAGTTTAGAGGTCGCTCTGCCGCTTAGATCATCAGGTTGAAATTCATCATACGCGTGGGAGAAACGCAGAGCTGGCTGGACTCCTGGGCTCACACGGAGGGCTGGGAGCCATGTGTGCCCCACGCTGGCCGGGAGCAAGGTGGGGGCGGGGTGTGGGCATAAACCACACCGGGCTCAAGTTTCCTCTCTTGGCCAGAAGGGGCAGGAGGAGAGGAGGGCCACGGGGAAAGGGGAGGGTTGGAGGAAGGACGGAGAACTCAGGCCGAGGGCTTCAGAGAAGAGGCTGGTGCGCCGGCCCGGAGCTCCCCGCACTCCACACCGGGCGCTCAGCGACCGCCCGGAGCTCCCGGAGCCTCCAGACACAGCGATGGCCGGGGGGCAGGGCACGGCCCTCCGCGGCTCTCAGAGGTAGAGGAGATCCTCACCCAGGAGGTGTCAGCCCAGGCCGGCCTCATCTCTCTCGTCGCTCTCCTCACCCCGCTGGGACCCTGCCACAGGTGCTTGCGGGGCGGGCGGGGAGGAGGACTGCAGTGGATCTGGGGACAGGCTGGGGAGGCGGAGGAGCCAAAGGGAGAAGAACCAACTCGCCGGGCGATCCTAGGAGGTCGCAGACCTTACCAGGCTGCCCCTGGCTTAGGAATTTGACAGGTGTGAGAGTTTCTCTGGGAGACCTATGTGGCTTCTTGAGCCCTTTGGGATTCTTGGGGCAAAATGCTATGGATGGGGACCAGACAGTGGTCCCCCGAGGGATGCCTCAGGGGCTGGGGAGTGACCCTGAGTAACCCTTGGGCAGGCTGGCTGTCGCTGGACTCTCAGGTATGCGGTACCATCCTTTCCCCTACTCCATCCCATCATGCTGCCCTGTCCAGCCATCTGGGGAGGTCTTGGGGAAGTTGCGGAACTGAGACAGTGGACTCCTGGGTCGCTGAGAAGTGTTGTGGCACCAAGATGGGCTGCTAGAGCTTGGAGGTGCTGAATTCTTTCCTCCCTGTGAGCCTTCTCTTCTCCAGGCCCGGGGCAGTGGGGATCAGCTGTAACTGGGAGGGAGAGGAAGGCATCCCACCGCAGCATAGTTGCATCTGACTAGAAATCTTGGCAGCTGAGGAGACAGACGGCTGGGGACAGTGGCAGAGAGGTCACCTGTCACACCTGCTGGAGCTGAGATTCTCCATCACTGGGCTTCCTAAGGGCTGAAGTTGGGGTCTAGTGACTGGGTGACGTGACGGCAGAAGCTCGTCCCTCCTTCCCTTGTTCCCATGCACCTCTTTGAGTCCTGTGTGACCCCACACATCTTACTGTGCTCAGTCTCACTGTGCTCAAATCTCTCTCCACACCCTCAACTCCCTCTCCCTCACCATGGCTCCCTCCGCCTGCCTCCTTTCCCCCACATTCTGTTGCTTTCTCTCACTACGGTGTGCCTCCCTCTGTTTGGAGAGTCTTTCTAATCTTTCTAAGCTGCAGGCTGCTCACGCATCACTCCACATCCCAAGTTTTACTGATCCCTCCCCCCATCCTTTCACTGCTTCTGTTGACACCTGGAGAGGAGGGGGAAGTCTAATAAGCCTCAGAACAGGGTTCCAGAGGCAAGCCCTCTCTCTGTCTCTCCCCCTTGTCAAGGTGTTAGGGCCCTGGGGCCACAGATGGGGCCGAATGCCTTCCTCTCCACAGCATCCCTCCCCAAACGGTCCTCACTCTGTATCCTGAAACATAAAGCTCCAGGTCATTCTGCGTGTACTCAGGGATTGTGATAAAATCTCTTTGGGTAAACCAGAATGGTTTAGGATGAGAGTAAAGAGGGTGGATTATAGTCCCCAGAGATGGCGTCCATCCTACTTGATATGCAGTGTTGGGGGTCAGGATGGCTGTGTGACCTCAAAGTGTGGGCTAAACTGAAAGTGAGGACCATTTGCTGTAAAAGAAAAGGGACACAGGGAGGCAGGCTGCACTCTCCTAGGACTTCAGCTTCTGTACCCTTTGTGATGTTCTATTTGATCTGATTCCTTCTCCTTGAGCTATACCACTGGCTGCCAGCTCCCTGGCCTGACTTCAGGAAGGTAGGCTTCTAAGATCCGGAGGGGCCTACAGTTGGTGTGTAGACCACCACCCATCTCTGAGTGTCTAGGGAAGAATAGACTACTCCCTTTTGGTCTGGCGCAGACTTGTGCCAGAGAGCTGGCTGGAGTTGATCCTGAGGTTCTCCTTAACTGCCTTTTTCCTTACTTCCTGTCTCCCCCAGTGACCCTTCTGGATTCTTATTTCCCTGTCCTAGGGTAAGGAGAGGATTAAATTCCTGGACTTTATGAGAAGGGGCTGATATCTAGTTTCAGAGACCAGGGCAGCCTAGAACCCAGCCTTGCTTGGATCGAGATTGTGAAGCGAGAAGTCTGGAGATTACTTGCCAGACTTTCTGACTATGTGTTCTTTCAAGTAAATCCATATGGTTGGACTGGTTAATAATTTTCAAAGTAAGGTGGGCCTCTGGCATCAGAAACACCTACCAGGCCACTTGTTAAAGGGCTGATTGCCAGGTACCTGTACCTATGAATTCAATTTTGATGAATCTGGGGTGGCTTTCAGAATTCTGTATTTTCACAAGCACCCCAGGTGAATGCAGCCCACAATAACGTTTGTGATTGCTTGAGCCAGATACAATCTACTGTAAGGAGGTTCTCCAGGTCTGTCTCCATTTAATGGGAGAGAATAAATAGGAAGCAATTTGCCCCAGATCATGCATGTGGAATGCCAGAGAACCTGGTCTCCTGCCTCCTAGGGCAGGATCTTTGTATTGCACCCAAGAGTCAGATCTGGGAAATTATACGGAGGGACGAAACGGGATGTGTGTGTGTGTGTGTGAGAGGGAAGGTCTATGAGGCAAGAGTCATCGTCCCTGCCCCCTAAACCCCTTCTCCATTCACTTTGCCTTTGGGCAATTTCCGCCAGAACCTGGGTGGAGAAGGTGGGGTTCCGGTGTTGAAATGGCATCCTGGACAGACATAAACACCCCGCCCTCTGCCCACTGGCCAAGGGCCTGTGCCAACTCCCAGCTCTAGGGATGGCCGTATAACAAGGAGGGGGCAGGCAGGGACTTGGGGTGATCCTCCTTCGAAAGGACAGTTTACAGCTCTCATTAATTTTGTGGTGAGTCAGAGTGGATTCCATATTAAATACCTGTGATAGGCCATCCTTGTGGTGATCTAAGGTCATCCAACCCAACCCTACACTCTGTCTGTCCTTCTGTAAGTCTCCCCCACCCACCCCGTCTGCCTGCCTTTACTTCTACAACACACACAGGGTATGGTGAGTGTCCCTAAGAGATCAGGGGGCCCCTGCCAAATCTACTTGGAGTGTCTTGCCAAAGGCAGGGAGAACAGATGAGGGTGAGATGGGTGTCAGGGAACAGGGAGGTGGAGTGAGGAGAAAGGGTGACAGAAAGGAGAAGATGAAGGCAGGGCTGAGGGCTTGCTGAGAATGTTGAACTGTCCAAGCAGAGAGGGAGCGACCTCCGAATTCAGCTTGTCTCACTCCCTGGTTTTACAAATGAGGAAACAGGCTCAGAGAAAGGCGATGGCTTGCCCAACATCTTGCTGCTGCGCAGGTCTGCAACTCCAGCCCAGAACCAAAGAAAAGGGGCTGGGAGGGAGTGAGTACTCAAGTCTCTAAGGAAATATTCCCTAGAAGAGAAAAGAGGCCAAGATTCTACAGAAGGAGTTGACTGACGCTGACTGCGAGTAGAGTCTCGGCGAAGCAAGACATGGGAGCAGGACTGGGAAGGCGCCTGGAAGGTGGGATAGGTAGTAGAGTCAGCAACTCTAGGTACCAGACCTGACTCTGCTATTTCTCAGCTTGAGTCTCAGCTACGGAATGGACCTATAGGATCTTTGTGAAAATCAATCTCATAAATGAATGCCTATAGACTCCCAGGCTCAGTTCTCAACAAATGCCAAGTAAGTCTTTGCTGTGGTTGTTATATGACCTGGTTTGTGGGGTGAGGTATAGCCAAGAGGACCCTGCAGGACACAGGGCAGAGGCCCAGTGTCTCCAGAGACCATTCCTCCTCGCTGCCTGCCGCTGATAAACCCCTTATCTGGCCCAGGCAGGGGAGCCCAGGACCAGGATAGGAGGCGAGGGCAGGGCTGCTATCAGCCAGCAGGCCTGGGCCCTATCTTAGAGAAAAGGAGGGGCTGTCTGCTTGGCTCTTCCCACAACACGCTCCTGGGGGATCCCCAAGCACTCACTCTCAACTTGGAAGGAAAAGACTGAGATCCTAAAACTGAGGGCAGAGGAGGAGAGCAGGAGTGATCCCTGATGCTGCTGCAGGAGATAGGAAAAACAAAACCACAACCCTAGGTGATGCGGCTTCTGACCTGGCCTGTGATACAGTCCTGAGGAGTTGAGCAGTAGGGGAAAGAGAAGGCATCTTATCTGAAAAGAAGATAAAACCTACTGTGCTCCCAGAGGAACTGCCTACAGCCATAGCAGGTGAGGTAGAGATAACAGAGCAGAAAAAGGCTTTCTAGCTTAAGGAGTCATTGATGAGTCCAGCATGAATGGGGGGATGAGGCGTCTCCTTCCCTCAGGTGAAGCTGGGGGGAGCCGCTCCGTGCATGCCTGTGTGCTCAGTCGCTCAGTCCTGTCAGACTCTTGGTGACCCCATGGACTGTAGCCCGCCAGGCTCCTCTGTCCATGGGATTTTCCAGGCAAGAATACTGAAGTGGGTTGCCATTTACTCCTCCAGGGGATCTTCCCCACCCAGGGATCAAACCCCACGAATCTCCTGTGTTGGCAGGTGGATTCCTTACCACTGCACCACCTGGGAAGCCCAGCTGCTCAATGAAGGACAAAACTGCTGACCCATGGCAGGAGAGGCCCTAACCCTTGTTTCTCCTTTGACACAGGTTGCTGGGACTGTCTGGGCTCTCGGGACCTTGGAGCAGGCCCTGGCCCAGTAGGATGCCCCCGTGTCCTCCACAGCAGAGCAGGAACAGGGTGACACAGCTGCCCATTCCGGAGCCAGGGGAGATGGAACTGACTTGGCAGGAGATCATGTCCATCACTGAGCTGCAGGTAAGCCAGGTAGGGGGAACGAGGTGGTGGGGGGAGGGGAAGCAGTGAAACAGGGAGTTGGGCTGGGATTGGCCCTGGGTGTGGGTGGTGGCGGGGGTGTGGGTGTGGGGGGTGGCGCTGGAGCAAGCAGAGCCCAGGGTCTGGAGATGGAAATGTTCTGGCCACTGTCAAAAGAAGGGCAGGAGTCGAAGAGATCTGGAGGGAAGGCCAGAGCATTGAGGGGGAGGGGTGCGGATGAGCAGGAGATAGCAGTGGTGGGAAGGGAGGATCTGATTGGGGGTGCAAGCTCTCTGGGCAGCCACTCTGCTCGTTTCTCTCAGCCTCACCTCCTGCCCCGCCTTCCCTTCTTCTCCTTCCTCTGTTCTGCCCTCTTCCAGGCCTGCCCATCTTCCTCCCTCATTTCCTCCCCCTGTCCTCAGCAGCTGGGCCCCTTCCCGCAGGTAGCAGCGCTGTAGTTCAGGGGCCTCGGGAAGGGGTGGGGTCAGGCTCTGCCGGGGTCCTTTCCTCCTGCTACTTGGACAAAGGGGTGTCTGTTGGCCTAACAATGATGCCTTTGTCCCCAGCTGGGCTGGAGCAGGGTGGCTCCCCAAGGTGGGTTGGGGGCCCTGTTCTCCCCAGCATGTTCTCTCCTCCTCTCTGCACCTGGGCAGGGACAGAGGGACTGGAGGGGAAAGGGCAGAGCTGACGGTGGCTCCCCAAAGTAACTCTCTGCCCCAGACCTGGCACTGTTCCCACTCCATTCTCTCCCCTGCCGCCAGCCTGGGCCCCCAGGATCTGCCCTAAGCCCTCTTCCCACACAGCAGCTCCCTCTGCTGGGCACCCAGGGCATGGCCAGGGTCTGAACTTGACCCTTTGACCCTAGGTCACAGCAGCAGGAAAAGGGTTCCAAGGGTCATCTTGGAGTGACCCCTTGTCTTCCTGAAGGAAATAAAGGGACAAGAGCCATCTCAAACCAGTAAGAACTTCTGAAGAGGAGGGGATTCCACAACTTTGTGGCGTTAGGTAGTCCTTTCTGAAGTCTGACTTCAGCGAGTTCCCTTCCTGTCTGAGCCACTTTCTTCATCAACTTGCTGTGTCACAACTTTGCCAGAAGCTTTCAATAATTATTAGCAACTTTCTGTTCCCTTGTGATTATCTCACCGGTTCTTTCAGTGGGAGTCAGTTTGGTTCTGAGTGAGAGGTGGTTTCTTCTCTTTCTCAGCCCGTCTACAAACCTCTCGGTGTCTTTTCTTGCAGGGTCTGAATGCTCCAAGTGAGCCATCGTTCGAGCCCCCAGCCCCCGTCCCATACCCAGGGCCCCCACCACCTCCAAGTTACTGCCCCTGCTCTATCCACTCGGAGCCTGGCTTTCCCCTTCCTACACCACCTTATGAGCTCCCAGCACCCACGTCTCATGTCCCAGACCCTCCGTACTCCTATGGCAGCAACATGACCGTACCAGTCTCCAAACCACTGACCCTCTCGGGCCTGCTGAGTGACCCGCTCCCAGACCCCTTGGCCCTCCTGGACATTGGGTTGTCAGCGGGGCCGTCCAAGCCCCAAGAAGACCCAGAATCTGACTCAGGATTATCCCTCAACTATAGTGACGCTGAATCTCTTGAGTTGGAGGGGACAGAGGCTGGCCGGCGTCGCAGCGAGTATGTAGAGATGTACCCAGTGGAGTACCCCTACTCACTAATGCCCAACTCCTTGACCCACCCCAACTATGCCTTGCCACCTGCCGAGACCCCTTTGGCCTTAGAACCCTCCTCAGGCCCTGTGCGGGCCAAGCCTACTGCGCGGGGGGAGGCGGGGAGTCGGGATGAGCGGCGGGCCCTGGCCATGAAGATCCCCTTCCCTACGGACAAGATCGTCAACCTGCCGGTGGATGATTTCAATGAGCTGCTGGCACGGTACCCGCTGACGGAGAGCCAGCTGGCCCTGGTCCGGGACATCCGAAGGCGGGGCAAGAACAAGGTGGCCGCCCAGAACTGTCGCAAGAGAAAGCTGGAGACCATCGTGCAGCTGGAGCGTGAACTGGAACGGCTGGGTAGCGAGCGGGAGCGGCTTCTCCGGGCCCGAGGCGAGGCCGACCGGACCCTGGAGGTCATGCGCCAACAGCTGACGGACCTGTATCGTGACATTTTCCAGCACTTGCGGGATGAAGCAGGCAACAGCTACTCCCCCGAAGAGTATGCGCTACATCAGGCTCCTGATGGGGCCATCTTCCTGGTGCCCCGGGGGACCAAGATGGAGGCCACAGACTGAGCTGGCCAGAGGGGTGGGACTGGTGATGGGGGTTTCCTGCATTCTCTTCCAATAAAGGTCCTCCCCATCCATGAGGCCCAGGGGGAGCTGAGTTCTGCAGACCAGGAGGGGACCACAGTGGGAAACCTGGCATTTGGAAGGTCCGAGGTGTGTTCAGTGAGGCTTGCCTGGAGGCAAGGATGTGAGGGGAGGGCTGGAATCTCTCTTCCATGGTTCAGTTTTCTAGGTTCCCAGTCTCGATAGAGCTTCGGTATATAAAGCACTCTACACAAATAGCCTTCTGCTGTGTCTTCTTTCTCAAGGGTGATGAACTGGGGTGCTCCTCAGGGCTCACTGCCTGTTGGTGGGGTGTTCTGCTGAGCTTGCTTCTCTCCATCCCCTATGACTGTAGGAGGACGGGACACACAACAGTTGGGCCTGAGCAGTGTGATATACCCCTTTCAATCCCTTTCTCAGAGCCAGAGGCCATGAATGATTTAAGGAACCCCACCTTCTTGGCTGGCCTATTTATAGAGCTAGGATTGCTGCCGGAGCTGGCTAGACCCTCTGTTCCTGTTAGTACTGAAAAGCCTAGAATGTCCAATGCCCACAGGACAGGCCTTTCTTGGTTGGAAAAAGAGAATTGGATTAGAACCCAACTTTCACCCTGATACTAGGAAAGACTGAGTGTAAGAGAAGGGGGCAACAGGATGAGGTGTTTGGATGGCATCACTGTCTCAATAGACATGAGTTTGAACAAATTCCACAGGGAAGCCTGGTGTGCTGCAGTTCACAGGGTCTGAGTCGACCACCACCGAGTGAACAAGTTTGAGAGGATTTGACACCCAGGACTGGATAAAACTTGCTCCACAGCAACACACCATATGCATTTTGGTTAAATCATCCATCTCCCTGGTTATGTTAGATGTTACCCAATTCTTGTTTTGGTGTTCTGCCCCTCCCCCACCCCTACTTCCCTTCTAGATCCTTGAAGATCTGGGGCTTTTTGCTAGTGTTTTTTAGGACACAATGAAGTTTCAAACTCCCTCCACACCACACCTTTGTCCTGCTGCTTGGATTTGGGGCAGTTCCCAATCTTCCTGATCACTAGATTATATAAGCATTTTGCTTCTATTTAACACTTCTATTCCATTTCACTAGAGAAAGCTTACTTTTAAGTTCTTGATACTCATTACAGTTGTGAGACAAAAAAATCATAAGTGATTGAAATACAAACTTAATGTCTACAGATCCAGAAAACATTGGTCTCCACAGAACAAAAACTTCCTAATAGATCTGAAGACAGTCCATCTTGTCAACTTTCTCAAAAACTTGAAAATGTAGGGTCAGGTAGTTTGAGATAGCAAACTAAAGTTTTTTCATTCAAATCAAACCCACAAAGATGGTAATTCAGAGACTAATCTAGACATTTATTCAACAAATTATTTAATAGGCACCTAAGCTCAAGGCATCATTCTAGGCATTGGAGATATGGTCAACAGGAGACACCTCTCGTGGAGGTACACTGTAGTGGGAAAGATTCTCAGACACATGTACTTATCAGTACTTCAGGTGAAAGACAGAAAGGGTGGGTCACAAAAATTTGAATGAGGAAATTGCCTTCCTCAGTTACTTCATATAAAAAAACAGGGAATTTCCTTACTCTTAATTCTGGTTAATAACAGACTGATGGATTCACAAGCTTTCTTTTACCAAGGATGGAAACAGGCTAGAGAAAAATATAAGCACTTGCTGAGAGTTAAACTACTGCTTTCAAACACATTTTTAGGCTTATTTTGCGAGGGTGAAGTAAAGGAGGTAAAGGAGGTCTGCTGGCTCTTTTTGAAGCTGAAAATTGACCAACAAAAGCTTGTTCATTCCTAGGAAAGGTCCACTATACTCAAGAACTTAACAGATAATTCATCCCGACTTAATCTGAATTATCATGTAGCTTTGCTTAAAGCAATCATATTGCAGTTTTCTTTAAACAATTACAGTTGACTATAAGAAACACTAATAAGAAATGAGGGTACAATTCTGGTGTACCAGACACCTGGCTATCATTAATTCCCCTATTTCCCATTCTCGATCTTCATCTGGTAAAGAACAAGCAGCACCAAGTTATTTACCATAAATATCATGGAGACAAAAACAAGGCACAAAACCAAGTTAAATGCAGTTTATTTTTTTAAAGTTCATTCACAAAATTGAATGATTCACGCTGCACAGCAGGTAGTAAGTAACTGCATAGCAGTGACAATCAAGCACCAAGAGGCTTGGATAAAGGTCCTCATTAAGGATGTTTCTGCAAAAATGAAAAAGAAAAGTACATAAGCAGATGAAAGAGTCTACAATTATACCCATTCTCTTCACTGAGAATCCAATTGTTTTAATAGTGTTTGCTGGCTAGTCTCTGAGGGACAGCTGGTTATTTTTCTTTGGAAATACTAAGCATTGTTACTTTATAAAAGCTTACCTTTTTATCCATGAGCTTGGACTGAAGTTTCTGGTTTTTAAGAGTTGATATGCCTGTGGTAGCAGAGTCCTCCCTAGAAAAGTAAACAGCCTTTAGAACTAGCTTTTTTTCAGAGACAAGTTCCATCTCAGGCTAACCCCCCACCTCCCACTAACGGCCCACCCAACCTCCCACAAGCATTTGGGGGGAAGATTCTAATATTACTTTGAGCCATTGTTTTAAGGAAATAGGTCAAAGGAAGGTAAGAAATATAGAAATTAAAGGGTAAATATATATCACAGAGAGGTAATTAAAAGTGCTCACTTCCTTCATTTGGGAGCCACCAAGAGTAGGGTGTCAATTTAAAGCAACTCAGTTCCAGAAAAACCAAGTTCAGCTTAACTGGACTAGTTTTGGCTCAATATATTAAGGAAAATGAGAAGGCTTGATTTTAGAGAGCTTTATGGATGTAAGTAAAATCTGTTCTTACCTATCAGCATAGCAATAAAACCTTTTCTCCTGGTTCTGACTGCTAGTCCTAAGAGTCAGGTGTGCCTTACTCTCGTCTGCCTCCTTCCTTGCGATGGTCACTGAAACTTCACTCTCCTAGCTTTCATGGAGTGCCGTGGCCTGCCCCTGGCTTATCTGTACTCCACATACCACAAGTGTCTACTCTCAGCTGTAGAGTGTCTGGGCTCGGAGCCATTCGCGCTATACTTGCTAGCAGTTCCTAGTAGCTGAACATCTCTCCTGGATCTTTAAAGGCATTGTCACGAATCCTGAGGTATCTGCAAACTCCCTCAATAGTTAAGGTTCCACCTGCCATTGCAAACTCAGCCAGTATCAAGCTCATGGAACTATTACCCATGCTTTCCCACCCACCTCCACCTCCCACCCAACCCCACCCCAACCCTCCCCAAAATTCCAGGTAACACACCCATGGGATGGAGTACACAATCCTAGTGGTAAACAAATATCTATACTACTAGGTACAATGGCACTGAAATTGAGGGCACCAAAGCGAAGGCTCAAAGGAAGCTATGTACAAATAACAATGATTGGATAATAACGTTATAAAGGTTTAAAAGTCATTTTCTATACAAGCAACATTTTAGGATGGTTGTGTGATCTTGTGCCATATTTAAAGGAAAACTGCAGTTAGCACGTATTTAAGTAGACGATACAGTTTCTCACCACATGAATTTTTAATCTCCATATAGTAAGTGGTCAATCCATAAACTACTATAAAGACCCACCCAACCAGGACAGAAACTGCAGTTTTCCTTTAATGTAAGCCTGTTTTTTTGTGTGTGTTGAATAAAATTCTTAATGGCACTAGTCAGTTTAAAAAAGGTCTTCCCCCAAACTAATTTGTGGATTTACGAGGTGGCATTAGCCAGCAGCTGGTTTCTATTCTCTGGCAGAGTTTTGAACTTGAATTGATAGAAGCATTCAACATGAGGGGTAGTGGGTAGGGAAGGTCCAAAACTCTGCCAGTCCCAAATCCATACAGTTGTCATTCCATTCAAGAGGGTATTAAATCTTTTATTGATTACACATGATAATGGATGATACACAAGCTTCATTCCCATCTATAACTTTTATCTGGTACCATAATTCAATTTAGATATATTGCATAGGATGTGCCAACAATCATTAATAACCAAAAAAAAAAACCTCCATGACTTTGCATGGGTGACCCTTTTAATGGTGAACTCCAGGTCACAACACAGTAACTGTCAGTTCAACTACACCAAGGTTCTGAAGACAACAGCTTCTCCACCAAGCAGGTTGTAAATAAATTTCAAATGGAACCTGGCATCACCCTGAAGGAATTCTAACTTCACACTGTTGGGGTAGTTTACCAAAATGGCTTCAGAGTAGACTAACTTTACACAGCACATTAAAAAAAAAAAAAAGACATTTATTCAGCGTCATGATCAGACTATTACATTTAGCAATCAACAGCATGGGTGCAAAAAAAAAAATCTACATTAAAACCCTTTGTTGGAATGCTTTACACTTTCCACAGAACAGAAACTAAAATAACCTGTTATACAATTAGTCACAAGTACAGTCCTCGAGTTTTTTGCCCATACACATGAGTATTGTCTAAAACATGTCTTCTTTGTAGCAGCTAGGCCCTGCCACCACTGTGCTTGGCTGAGTTCACAAATCTGTTGTAACCTGTAGCTTCCCTGTCACTTCTCTGGCTCTCCTCTCCTGCTAAGCTTTGTTTCCTGTTGAACAATATGGAATAAAGTTGTTAATCTAAACATATTAAGACTCAAGGCTACAATCCAATAGCAAGTTGTTTCCCACAAATTTTGCTGATCTGAATATTAACTTAATATCCACAATTTTACTGTAATTATAATGTTAACTATGTTGCACTGCTCAGCTATATTAGGGTTACTGGGTTCATCATAAATTACAATTAAGTGAGAACAACAACAAAAAAAGGTGTTCACTTACCTGGCAGTAATTAAAACCTTCTGCCACTGCCATAGCTACTGCTGCTGCTGGAACCACCATAGCCACCTAAGAACAAAATTTATATTACATT